TCCGCTATCCATGTTTATCCAAGACATGCCCTTTATTTTTAGGGTTAAGCCATTTCTACTGTACTCTGCTACCAAAGATATATGTCAGGTTCTCTTATTTTTCATTTCAGAAAGACAAATTCTTCTGAAAGAATTTTTAAAACTACAATCGTATATAGTTGGCGTAAAATAAAGTAAGTGTATTTACAAAATCCAATCATGACCTAAATCTTTTAGTATCACATCACACCCTGCATGATCTATAATGGTTCATGACCAAAAATGTGTTTTACATTTCATTGACAGAAAACAAGACTTACAGCTATATTGGAAAATAGGGTTCCTGTGAGGAAGTAAAACAGACGTGGCTGCTGTTGAATAATTTCAACACTAGAGTACTTTGCCCATATGATCATGAGGCCGAAGAGTACTAAAGTTCCAACCAGGGGGCGCATGGCTTCCCAAAGGGTCCGTTTTTTCCCTGTTCCGTCTCTTGAAGCACTGGGAATAAAGAACAATATAGTTAGAATCAATAATTAACATATCTATTCTGATAATACCAGGGGTGCCACATTGATAATCAAAAGTGGGGAAAAATGCTTATTGGGATAATAAAATTAAAATTGTCTAAATTTATGCAAATAGGCACATTCTGATCTACTTTCTGGGTTTTAAGCTCATCTGTGAGAACTTAGTTGCACTTGAACAGTAATACTGGTTGAGAAAACTAGCAGAAGGAATTTTAAGTATCATATATCTCACATAAAGTATGGACTCATAGCAGCAACAACTAACATGATCAATGCTCTGTACAGAAATTCAAACTATAAAACGTAGGTGTCATAGCAAAGTATTCTGTATAGAATTTGAAAGTAGGTATCATATTTGCTTCACATGTGTGTGCTTGTAGTTGTATAGGTGTTTTCCTCTTGTTATGGGTTTGTATTTACAACAGCTCATTAAAAGTGCCATACACCTTGAATACTTCAGCACATAAACCATTATACCTGATAAAAAAACAAAACTATACTTCATTCTGGACTGTTCTGATCAAAAAAATACCTGGGGAGGTATACCGCATATATCAAATAGGGTTAATATTCTTAATGTACATGTATTAAACTGATTTATCATAATTTTCCAAATGTCATGCACCATTAATACTTACACATATATATTCCACAGAGTTGGCGGGACTGTTAAAAGAATAGTTCCTACTGGAAAGAAAAAAATCAAGATTAATACAATGTTTTAAATACCCTTTTGGCTGACTGAATTTTTTAGCCAAGTCTTAATCTGAAATGTTAATGCTTGCAGTTGTGTGCAAAATATAATTGATAAAAGGCTGGTAATGTTTTCATTGACTTTTATCTTCTATGCAAATTAACGAGCAAAGATGCAGATTTTTGTATTACAGTATTAATAAACAAATGACAGCAACAACCATGTCTGTATTTTCTTTAAATATTTCCACAGCATGATACCATAGCATAAACCTGCATGGACTCTGTCCATCAATCTAAAACAATAGATTGAATAGCCAAAAATGTTGACATGCAGGTACATGTAATACATGTATTGTTTTGCCTAATACCTATCTCTGACTAATCATAAGTTTGGTAGTGATAGCATGAATTCTTTTTAAAACATAAGCATTGTATAAAGTTGTATAGTAGGCAAAGACAGGAGTAATTTACCAAGTACATACTTATGACTGAAGTATGCAATCCTTATCTTTGAAGAACTTGACAGTGTAAATACTTACAGTGCATTATTATTTCTAAGCCCTCTGCACAATACAAGTCTGCGAATGGTAGTTTGAATCGCCACATTTCATGCCCACCAAAGTAAGCTACCAGGAACAGAAGTGCCATTCCCTGAAAAAGAAAAAAAAATTCATTCTGAAAATGTAAAAAAACATATTGTGTACTTTTTTTTTTACTTCTGAAGAAATAATAATCAGCTGAATACCAGATCAGAGGCTTAACCCATTCACCCCTAAAGTCACATTTGAATCTTACCAAATCA